ACAAGGTTTGGGTCCAGGTGAGCCGCTGGCAAGTTGGAGATGGAAGTTCATTCGAGAACCGTTTTCCACCCGCAGGTGTGACCAGGGCGGGTGTTGGAGACGGTCCCCCGGTGTGTGTCCCTGCAGGAAGGCGAGTGTTCCAGCCTATAGCACCTCTGGCCCTAGTTTAACAGCTCAGGGGTCAGGGGTCTGGCCTGTTCTCAACCAAATGGGGGAAGATGGGCCCTCACTCGGCCGGGCCTTAACCAGCAGGACCACGTGCCCCGTGCATGTTGACAGGTTTCTAAACTGGCCGTTCGGAGAGCCACCCCGGGGGACACCCAGGGGAGTCCACGGCTCTTTATAACCCAGGAACGTGTGCACCTGGAGACAGAGCTAAAGCTCTGTGCCGACGTGGGGGAGTGTCTGTGTGTCTGTCCGTTGAACGAGAACCCAGTCTTCCCCGCCCCCAGACGCCTTCTCCTCTCGGGGTGATGAGCACCCCTGCTTCTCCCACGGGGCAGCCGAGCTTCCTGCCCACCAGGTAGACCCCACTGAACCTCCCGACTCCCCCGCCCACCTACCTGTGACTTCCGGCGGGGACTCCCTTCACTTCCTCCTATGCTCCCTGCCTGTGATAAGACTCATCGTGCAGGGGCTGGTGAGCATTAAATTGGGGAAACCAATGTTCCCCAAACCCTAGTCCCTGCCGCTTCATCCATGATCGTTGTCATTACGTTATTCCAAGTCCATAAACTCTTATCAGGATCCAGTAAGTCCGGGGAGAGACCAAGTCCAGACAAACTCAGAAAGGACTGAAACGGTGGGAAGGACATCAGCCCATCCCCATCCGAGGCCCCTCTCCCGGGTTTCGCATTTCCTCTGCCTTCACCTGGGCCTGTCCGGCCACGTGATCTGCAAACCTGTTTCTGATGGACGTGAACGTCTTTGGAGCAGCCCGGGGCCCTCTTGCAACCTCCCTGCCCGTTTTGTCCATGTTCTTCTACACATGAGCGCACTGAGGCTCGAGGGGAACGACCTTCCCAAGGTCAAAGGCCTGGCTGGTGGCAGAACTGGAATGCAGGGCGCCCAGACCACAGCCACCCTTCCACCCAGGGCCTCCTCCCTCCCCGACCCACTCGGGGCCTGACAGTGGGGTCTACCTACGCGTCTGGAGGCGAGTGGCAAGGATGACTGGGAACTTGCATGGGGCCACTGAGTCCCCTTCACCATTGAGCGCATCCCCAGGGAGCCTGCCCATCGCCATGACAACACTCCTCTGGTCCTTGCTCCTTTCCCCTCCCAGGACTGCCTCCTGCAGTCCCACACCCTGCTCACCCTCTAAGGGAGATAACGTCGGGGATCCCTCTCCAAACTGGCGGCAAACGGAGGCTCAGAGAGGTGGCATCCCCGCCCAGGTGTGGGGCCAGGCGGCTCCTCATTCCTATTTGAGAGCCAACCAGACAATTAAAAGGGCCTCCACGTGACCACTGCCCGTTTTCTCAACACTCATCACCGAGGCCGGCCGGGGCCGGATCCCAGGCCCGTGGCCCAGCCCAGCTGGCTCTCATTCTCTGGCTCCCCAGGCCAGGTCAGGCCTGGCTGTGTGGTTTCACCAAATTGTGTTATTTTGAAAACCTGACATCTGTAGCCAGATGCCCGCAGGCAGGCACTGCCCTTTTCCGCCCGTCCGAGCAAGGAAATGGACCTGCCACGGCAGTGTGCGCGTCGCCGGGCTGCGGACCTATTTGGAGAACTGAATCTCGCTTCTTACTTTATTTTTCACTGATATCAGTTGCTTCCACGCAGGCAGAGCTTCCTCTCGAGTGGGAACGGGGCGCCCCCTAGCGGCCACCCGCTCAACTGCAGCCACAAGAAAGACATCACCGTGGTCACCTTGGACCAAAGTGGTGTGCTCAGGGGAGAGTTTTGTTTTTGTTTTTCTTTTCTCATCGGGGAGAGCTTTAACACTCATTCTTCTTTCCTCACGCAACAGGGCTGGCCTAACAGTCACAGTTCTCGACAGCCCCCCTAGAGCAGCGGTCGCCAACCTTTCGGACCTTACGGACCAGCAGTGGTCCACGGACCACCGGTTGGCGACCACTGGTCCAGGTGACATGTGCTCAGTGAGCCCAGCATTACCCATGCAAGGTCTGGCAGGCAGGGGTCCGGAGGGTCTCTGTGCTGTGAGCTAAGATTTTCTCATTCTAAGACGCAGATGGTTTTTGGATTTGGTGATTCTGATTTTCAGATCTGTGTCTCTGAGATTCATTTCTGAGGGCTGCCCTACCAAATGACCACGAACTGGGTGTCTTAAAGCGACAGAGATTTCTTCTCTCTCAGCTCTGGAGACCAGAAGTCTGAAATCAGGGTGTTGGCAGGGCGGGGTCCCTT